TCATCAAATCAGATCGAATTTCCATCTATATAAAAGATAAAAGCAAAAATGAGCTTAACAACAGAATAACTCACAAATATAAGACATTTGATGGATGATCGAAATGCAAAAGGAAAAAAACTTCTTTAACAGAATTTATTTTCCCATTTGACGAAAGGAAAATAAATGCATAGGCACACGCATATAGAGTGAAGGAGAACCATTACAAGTAAATAGCATAGAATAATATCATAAGACCAATAGAATGACATGATAAGCAAATGCTTAAACTTGGCAATTTCATACACGATACTGTGACATGGCACGAAAACAACACAAAGAAAAACGTCTCGTGTTTATTCATGTTAGCACGAATTTCGACACGACATAATTCGTATTTTATACTTATTAATATGTCTAAACACGTGTAAGACACGAAAACTACATTTAGATAAAATATGTTACAAAAATACATGTTTAACACGTGACACGTGACACAATACGAAAAACACATTCAATTTAATTATATCATATGAGTACACATTTAATATGTTTAACACAATTTTTATATTTATTTTAGTTTAATATAAACATATAAAGATAAATTTTTAATCTTTTAATAATGAGACCTAATTAGCTATTAAGTAGCATATAAAGATTATTTTAAACATTTAATTATGATATTTATTTAATAATTTTATAATAATTATTTTTATATTAATAAAATAAATACAATATAAATAATAATATTAATCCGATACATCATTATTTTATTCTTTAATCTTTTGTAATCCATCATTTTGGATTTGATACTAAAAACTAATATATTATGTATACATGATTATTATATTAGTAATGTATATATTAAAATTTAAATATATATATATTAAATGCATATTAAATGAGGGTATCAAATTTTTTATACATTTTTTAATATGCCAGTATTTTTATATTAATAATGGTGCATATATTATACAGGATATAGTAATTTTACATATTAAATAAATTGTTCTTTATTACTTTTTATAATAAGATTAAAAAAAAATATTATTATTAAAATAAGAATTTAAGAAAAATAATATACACTTAATTGTTAATAACAAGTAACATCCATTATGATCATTAATCAAATAATGCAAATCCAAATCACATGAATACACAATGATAGATCATACTGATAATAAATAACATTTATAATAATAAGAAACTATATGATCATTTTAATAACATAAATCATGATATATGAATATTTTAAATCATAAGAGTTAAATAAAAGATTATATATTTGAAATTAAAATCACATATTCTAAATAATATGCATGATGATAAAAATTATATAATATATTCTACATTACATGATAAGATATTATTAAAACGTAACTTATAAATTATTAGTGTAAATATACATTGCGATTATCTATTTTAAATACTTTATTTTAAATCACAGGATAAGAGATATACATTTGAAATTAAACTTAACATGTTTCTTTTAAATTACCTGACAAAAAATTATACATTTGAAATTAAATATAACATATTTCTTCTAAATAATATTTATAATGATAAGAGATTATATAATTTATATTTCTATATAACATGATAAGATATTATTATAATGTAATATATATACTCATCTTAACGACTTGTTTTATCTACTTTATTTAAAATTTAAATCATATCATATGATACCCATATATAATCATAAGAAAATATATAAATTTATTCTAAATCATATGTATATGAGTATAACCATGATAAATAAAATATGTAATTTATTTTATCATATTATAGCATATAAAAAATTACTATAAGTAACATAAATATATTAATTTGACTTTAAAATATATATTAATAATATTTTTAATAATTTCATAAATCATTAGGATCTTTAACAAATAAATTCATACTAATTAAGCAAACTATTGAAAATATATAGTAATATTTATTAGAAACAAAAAAATCTAGTATCAATATATTTATATTTATGTATAGGAAAAACGAAAAAATAAGAAGTATAAAAAAACATAGCTTTTAGAATAAACTTTTTATCATAGATACATATATGATTATTATATATACATATTCTTATTTTTATTTTTTATTTTGAATAAATTGACCTAATAGGTTGGTATGCCTATATTTGTTGAATTGGGTATGATGTTTATGATGACATGTTAGTATCTACTATCTACTAAACATTGACTTGGATATTTAGGATTATTTTCTATTTTAAATATATATAATATGGAGTATGGAATGGATTGGAGACATTATTACTTTTTATGTAAGTTACTGTTTAATGTCTTTAGTGGAACATCATTTATGAAGGTTAGAGACTTGGACTTGATGTAGTGTGATTTACACTATGTAAATAAGGCATAAGCTATTGACTATTGTTTAGCGTTTAGTGTCTTAGGAATTTAGTACTTATTCTTACTAGGCAAATGCTTAATTGTAAGTTGTAAGGTGTAAATGATGGATAATTTATAGTTGTTTATTATTTTAGTCATGTTTTCATGTATATTCGTGTTAGTCGTATCTATTTGTGTATATCTCTGTTATTTGTATTTATTCATATCATGTGTAAATAGATTAATTGTACATGTGTTAGTTATGTCGTGTTGCGTGTAACATATATAATAAACATGTCATGTTCGTGTTTAAGATTTAAACACATTTTATAATTTGTGCCGTGTTCATGTTTTAATAATTCGTGCCATTACACGTGTCAAACATGACACGAGATACAACATGCCAACACGAATTGCCAAGTCTAGCTATGCCAACAAACACCAAGGACATTTATGGTGTAACTTTAATGCCTCTTTTAGAAGACTGACTAAATAGTAGCCTTTAAATTATCAGTCAAATTGAGTATTAGTAGCGTTTTAAATTGGCATATGGGCAGGTAAAGGGTGGTCCAATCGATAGAATATGTTTTGTTTTAAGTAAAAAACTGAGACTCTACACTTGTGTGTGGGAGCACAGAAGGCTACCATTAATCAATTTCACCAATCGGGCATTAGTTGTCAGTTACTGAAGAGTTGTAAAAAAAAAAAAAGTAACTGGCAAGCAATACCTGGCCTACTGCACGGATAATGCGCTTCTGAGTCGAGTATCTTTCTCAATTTCTGCCCCTGCAAAGCATTAAAGATTCTATGTAAGGATCCAGTCCAAGTAACAAATTAAATAAAACAGAAAGTTAAAAATCCAACCTGTTGCTATATGTAATAAAATTGTTGCCAGGGTCCAGTCCAATGATGTGTATCTTCCTGGTTTCTTGGCTTTGTCTTTTCCACCAGCGGGATCCTGACTCTGAAGGTCCACTAACAGGAACAGAGCAAAGCATTGCAGTAGCTACTGCATCATGCGCCTATGGGTGCCGCAACTGCCACCAGGAGGAACATCAGAAACGAGATCACCACTCACGACCTGCAGGAAAATGAAGTGGCCTGTAAAGAAACTACTTTGCTTGGGAACTAAAGACTATTAGCGAAACCAATTCTAACCAAAATATCTTTTGCAGTAAGGTGGTGTGAGATTGCCCTAATTGCCCCGGCTGTCCCAATAACCTCAGGTACTGCAGCAATCTGGAATGTCAGAAAAAGGAACCTAATTAGTTATTAACTAGGCAAAGGAAGAACATCACAGCAAACAAGTGATTCATAATCACAAGAATGAAATGCAACCTTTACAACCTTAAAAAGCATATTCATGAAAAAAGAAGAGAAACTAAAAGCATGCATCATCTTAGATATATGAATTTTGGATATGGGAAAGAAAAAAGGAAAACATTTACACTAATAGACTCAATTTGAAAGCAAAAAGAAGAACAACATTGATAAATGGATTCTTTATGTACAAAAAAGTGATGAGAGTTTTGTAGAGTAACATCTATTTTTGTAACATCAAAATGTTCTAGGATAGCCAATATAGGATGGGGGGTCATCAGATTCTACAATAGAATTTGTATAACCCCAATTAGCTTCAGATTAATGACAACAGATTCTGATATGAAGAAATACTAATTGCAAAAAAAAAAAAAAAAAAAAAAAATAGAAGGCAAAAAGGTGGAACGGCATGGAAAAAGGGAAAGTAATGAGAAAAACTAATATCAAAAGCATTTGTTTGAAAACCATACTTTAGAAAATATTAAAGTAGTCAAAAGTCTACTTTTTGACAAAAGACATCTCTTGGTGAAAAGAAATCAAAACAGGACAAGTCAATTTATGAAGATCTAAAGTTTGGTCCCCAAGTTACCAAAAAATGAACTTCACCTGATTTTTTAAAGAAACTAGATAACAGAAGACGACCCTAGAAAGGAGGAAAGACATGAAGCCCATAAGATTCTGCCAGACTCCAGACTTTGCCAAATGAGAAAAACACAAATGGATGAAATTGCCATTTGCTCCCATACATAAAATAATCCAAAACTGTTCAAACTAAAATCCCATAACAGGGAAAAACTCCTGCTTCCATGACTGCATTACACAACCTTAACCATTAAATATAGTGTAACATAATAAGAAGAGCTTAGCCTGATTATCATATAATCATATGGCATAAACATTCATAAAGCCTTCTTCCATTTCTTCTTGATAACAGATTTGCAAATCTTGCAATTTGCAAAGCCCAATTCATTAGGCAATATTCAGCCTAGCTAAGACAAGGACTGAAATTTTCAGGTCCAGAGAAGCACCATGAAAATAACTCTGAGACTCCAGCACATGCATGAATGGGCATATATTAAGTTTCCCACCATCGAATGCAGATGCCACACTGCACCCAAAAGGGCAAATGATGTTGTTAATATCACACTCATTATTGACATTGTGTCATGGTCCCTTACAAGTCAATGCACAAGATCTGCCAAAAGAGATTTACCTCACATTATTCCGTTGATTTGATATATTTGTCATCTAAACCTACAATACTTGCTCCATGTACCTTCCCAAGCTTGAACTACCTATTATGACATTTACAAAATTTTTAACTCAAGCTCACCCAATGAAGACTGTTTAGTACTTCACAAATTGTACGGTTATAATTCCAGATCTGACAAAACAAACAACTAAAAAAACCCATAAAGCGCAATACTATTTCTGAAATTAATTCTACAAACACAAAGTCACCTAAAAGTTCATGTGTTCCTCTCTCTCAATGACAAATAGTTCTACTCGTAAGCCACCACAACACCAATCACAACATCCAAAACATTTGAACCGTTTTCAAAGTCTTGCATCAATAGCGACACGAAGAAAGAATATGATTGTGTGAAAAAGACGGGCATCCTGTAAATTTGATGTATGTCTCTCCAGTTAAATCTTCATAAGAAGGCAGAGCTTCTAATTTGAAGCCTTCGTTGGAGAAGATTATTTTTTCAATATTTATGTAATTAGCTTGCCTGTTTTCTCTGAGTAGGCAAAAAAAAAGCATCTCTAGTTCATTTCTTTGGTGCTGTGAAGGTGACAACCTTCTTGGAGTGTGGTATTCTGCCAGTCAAGTTACAGAATGAGGCAAATGGTAGGTTTTCTAGGGATTTCCTAAACTAGAATTCACATGCTGCTTATTCTTGTTTGATTCTAGCAAATTTGTTCTTAGTCTGAAGCTTGATGAGAATTTAGCGAAAATGAGTTAAAACTCTGAGTAGGTGAAGGAACTTTGAGCTCGAGAAACTGTAGTTCAAAATTTAAGAATTAATAAAACACAAAATAACATGCAACAGAACTCATTCCATAAACTTCAATTAAACCGACGTTTTGGTCCTTTCTAGCAAAGCAACAAAGACTCTTAATCAAGTTATCCATTGATATTTTGAGATACTAATCAGCTTCTTGATATTGTGCATCATCAACAACCTTGAAATACCTTAACAGTTGACCTAGTTGCAACAAAACAACCCTCCCCAAATTTTTTTTCTCAAAATCAAATTTCATGAGACTAATCAAATTCAAATGTACCTTACATTTGTTCCAATCAAGTAATAAAATTCATAAAACACAGACAAGTAATTCAAGTCTAATATAAATCCTTCATTAAGAAATAAAATGGCATAGTTTCAACATAAACAATCATAAAATTAAATTGTAAGATAAAAAGGTAAGTGTACCTCAACATGTAGACGATCAACAAAAGTCCCAAAAATCCAACCACCAACAAGAACCGCTGTTTCTTTCCCTTCGACCACCTATTTGCATCCGCAAACATTCAAATCAAAATTTAAAAAAAAAAAAAACCCTAAAAACTATAAACAATAATAACATCCATTTAAACCATCTCCCTTTAGGCAATTCTTTTTTCTTACAACAATGAGATCTTTAAGGTTACTTTGTTCCAATTGGTGCAAAACATAGTAAAGAACAGGGCGGTTGGCAACCGGAAGCAGCGGTTTAGGCAATTCCATGCAAGCATTTTAAGAAATAAAATAAGAAAAAAAATAGTAAAAGATTAATCAAATTATGAAAAGGGTATTTTGAATGGAAAAAAAAATTGAGAGGGCAGACCTTAGAGACAAGGGGAGCTAGATTCTTTGAAGTGTCACCTGCTAAAACCACAACTTGGAAATCCATTTCCAAAGGGAGGAGGGAAAGGGACAAATTATATGAAGGGTTTTGCCGTGGGGTTTTGGTGAATCTATGAATGCATAAAGATTCAAATAAAGAGTTTTCTTTTTTCAACAGTAAAAGAGTTCCAGGAGTTTCCGGCTTTTGGGGCGTCTTTTGACACCTTTTTTGTTTACGAGCTTCCGTAAGCAATTTGGATCCAATAGTGGCGTGCGAGGGCGCTGGCTTGCCATGAGTGAGGTAAGAGGTTCGATTCCTTGCATTTCCGAACCAGACTTTTTAAATATAAAATTCCATTACTGTTTTTTTATATTTCTTCCTTTTGGGATAATTTCCTTTTACCCTCAAATATTCTTTAGATGTTCAATTTAGTCCATATGCTTTGCTTTGATAATTTTGTAAACAAATTAAAGTTTCGTATTTGTTTATATAATATTATCGCCAAGAAATATAGGAGAGAACTTATGTAACGTTTTCTAGGTCATGTTCATAATGTTCTCCATTAAAATCAATTAAATAAAAATTAAATTTAAAAATCAAAATCGATAAATAAATGAAACTTAAAGAAAAAATTAATAATATATTAAAATTAATCAAAAATAGTATTTATCCATAAGATGTAATCGATATTTATTCGATTGTGCAAACTTCATCAATAAAAAAGCTTATTTGAATAAAATATCAAAACACATTCAAATTATTTAAAATATTATATATTTAATTTAAGTAAAAATCTTTCAAACTATTAAATTAAAATTTTATTTAATCATTTTTAATTAAAAAAAATCTCACAAACTCTAACTTAAGAAATTTTATCTTGGAATATGATGGGTAACTTTAAGATTGACCAACAAACGCGCAAGCTTTTTTGATAAGATTTTATCCTGCATTTGCTTCAAAATTTTCAATCCAATCAGGAATCAAGATTTTAAATAATCAATATTTTATGTGCTATTGGTTGCCTTTTTTCTTCTCCATGTTACAAATGAACATTTTGTCTGCTTCTTATGCTACACAAATCACCAAAGGTCCAAAGCTTTTTAAAGGTGCCAGTTAGCAGCAATTGTGCCCATTAGCACTCCACACTCACGCAGGTGGCGCGTTGTCTAACCACCGGGAGATCCGCCGCTCGACTCCACTCACCATCAATGCTATCATATATAAAAACAAGCCCATATTTTAGACCCCTTTGGCTCCTTCCACTTCTTCTCAAAAAGTTATTTGTGCACCCAACAACTTGTATCAAAAGTGCTTTATCCCCAACCCCAACACAACAGAATAGCCTGCCTTATTTGAGTTGGCATTGGTGGAGTTTTCATTCTACACCACGCTCCAAACCCTTCACCGTCACCGCATTTTCTCCGCGCGTCGAACCGCTAAAAAGAAAGTTCCACCGCGTGGCTTGCTAGAATATATATGAATCCCGCTATCGCGCAAGCTGCCACAACACAGCCGCCTCCTGGTACCGCCCTGCTCCTCAACCACACACGCGCCTCCACATCATACAAATCCATCGAACTTGCATAAACGTAAGCTTCTACCCCACCACCTTCGTTTCCACACCCGCCACCAATCTTCAATCCACCTATCACACAATAGATGCCATTTACCGCTGCCCCTATGCACCCAGAACGCCTCCTTTGCGAGTGAGCCACCAAGCGCCACGAGTCATTTTCTGAGTTGTATTCCTCCACGGCTGAGGCAGCTTTAGAACCACCATCGCCAGCTACGTAAATTTTGTTGAAATCCACGGCGGGTGGCGAACTTTTTGCGAGAGAAAAACATTAGATTTGATAATTCGTTTATTTTTATATAAACTATTAAAATTATATATTTATGTTATACTTTATATATAAACTAGTTTTTTTATTATATTTTTTTTATAGTTTAAATTTTTAATTTAAATTAATTTTTATATTATATATAGATAAATAAAAATAATCATAATTATTTATAATTTGTAGTTTAAAATTAAAAAAATTGTTGATATATAAATTATTATGAAAGAATCTAAATAAGTATTATGAAAGTTTTAGATTATGAAAGTAAAATTATATACAAATATCAGTGAGAAAGTTAATTTTTTATTCACAATTACATAAATTTTTTATAAGTATATATTATTTTAGTATAAAAACTAAGAAAGACTTTTTTATATTTAAGTTTGAAACTTTATCTTGTCAAACTTTTATGACAAAAAAAATATATTGATTGTGAGAAAAAATCATAAATATATATTTAATAATTATTTAATTTAAAAAAATCTAAATTTTTAAAAATTTAGTTTATCCAAGTTTAATTTTAAATTAAGATAAAAGAAGTTAGTATAATTTTAAATTTAGATATATGTGTAATTTTGAATTGAGATAAAATATTTTTTATTTTAAATTATAAAAAAATAAAGACAAAAATTGGTAAATAATATAGATTCAACTATAAATTTTATTTATTTAAATTTATATGAATATTAATTTAGGTGGTGCAAAATTTTTTATGATTTTTAAGATTTAAGAATTTAAACTTTAAAAACTATTTGAATTGGATAAGAGTGAAATATGAGAAGATATATTTTATTATATTTAAATTAAGATAAACCTTATATATTTGAAAAGATTTTGATAAATGTATATTTTGAAACTTTAAAATTTTTAAAAATTAAATAATTGATTTAATAAAATTATTTGAAAATATTTTACATGTCAAAAATATAAGTTGTCTACCTAAATATTAACGTAAGCAAATTTTTTTTCTATGTATGTTGTAATATAATATTATGTATAATTACGTGTTATATATTTTAAAAACATAAAAATATAAAATTTATATTTTTAATTATGTTAAATTTTTTTATAATAATTATTAAAATATTAAATTATATTATTTTTACTTATTATTTTTTAATTATATTTATATCGAGTTTTAAATTGTAACGTGATGGGTCCAAACCTTATATCTAAGCGCGGAATTTCTACAAATGATTTAAATTCTTGGTCCCATAGAAACTTGGATGTTGTGAAGGGGAGTGTTCACAGGAAGACATAAAGAGAGTTCCCAAGTAGGGTTATGGTTCGGGGAAGAAAAAGAGGGTGGCAGAGAAGACACCGGAGTCAGTGGCGGAGAAGACGAAGACGGAAGGGTGGAGGAGGTGGAGTTGACGGCGAAGGAGGAAGAAGGAAGGGGAGAGAAGAGAGAGTGAGAGGAACAGTGAGGTTAAGGTGCTAGGGTATAATTGTCAAAGCTTTGTGATTGTGGTTAGGGAAACAGGATTTCACTTAGCCATGAGAAGTGGCTAGAGTTGCAGTCCTCTGACATGGAAAATAGATTGAAGAAAACAAATGAGATTGCAAGAGAGTTGCAGCAAAAAATGAGTTGGTGGCAGTTTCTGATTGGAAAAGGAAATGATGAATTTGATAAATGGCGTTGAGTGAGCAGACAGATGGGAAAATGTCAAACAAATGTTTTGGCTTTGCTTTGCTTTCCCGCAAGCTTAATGTATATTGACAACGAAACAAAAAGAAACGGATTTTATTTGGTTTAACGGGTAAAATGACATCTACAAAAGTTCAAATTCAAAACAAGAACTCCTCTTTGGGCGTGGGTTGTGAATATGATCCATGGATAAAGGAAGGAGTCATAAATTGAATTGATAAAGACTTCTAATTCAAGACTTTTTAATTATATAATTCCAGTTGTGTTAAATAGTTTGAATTTCTAAAATAATAATAAGTAATAATAATGTGCTTAAGTAATGTAAATTTATAGAGGTGCTTGATACACAAAATATGATAAATTAAGATAAAATAATATTATTAATATGATTAAATTAAATAATATAATTTTATATTGTATTTGATGTGTGAAACGATTAAGCTATGATAATTTATTTATTAATTAAAATTATTATTTTTTAAAATTATACAATTTAAATTATTAATGTAATTTTAAAAGATCTCATAAAATATGTAAATTTAATTTCATGGATTAATTTAATCATATTCATTTTGGGAGAATTAAATCATCTCATACTAAATGGATGATTAATCTTCTTTATAATCTTATCCTTTTATTTAGATACCAAACAAACGTAATATAAGACGATTATTATTTTATCACATTCATCATCTTATGCATCAAACATGATATATATATTTTATTTATATTATTAAAAAATTACATTAAATTTATAAATTGCTTATAAATAGTATTATTTACAAAAAAAAAATCAAATATAAACATTACAAATAAAATATTTGATTTTTATCAATTCAAATAAAACTATATTAACAACTAAAATTAATTTCATCCAATAGAATTATGTTCCCTTCTTATCAACATACTTTCATGTAAATAAATATCATCTAACCTCCTTAAGAAAAGCTTTAGTGACATTTAAATTCAATATTAATATCATGTAATTTCATAAAAAAAAAAAAAAAAACTGACATCGTGCTAATTTGTAAACCCACAAATTTTTATAATGTCTTTAATAATTTATTCACGTGGCATCTTATCAGTTATCTCACAACTTCTTAAAATTTCATCAATGTTAATAGAAAGAGAGCAATATTGAAATCATAAATTATAATAGGATTGAAGTTTAATATATATATATATATATGTATATTTATGTATGTATGTATATATTTAGGAGACTAAAGTGAATGTACCCTTATGCTAACTGCTAAGGGACCAAGAGGATAATTTACTTATGTAAAAAAAAAAAAAAAATGGACGAAATCTAAAAGTTTATGTATTTATTTTTTCTTTTGAGGTATAAAGTTCATGCATTGTTAATCTAATGATTGGGAGATTATTTTATAAAGTTCATGTTAAGTGCCAATGGTATCGTTGTCTAAGCAAATTTAGGAGAATTATTTATTCCACATAGCAATTGTAGTACCAATGTCACGTATTTTATACGTCAAGATTATGTTTAATGTATAAAATGATAGATAAAATAAAATGATAATCATTTTATATTATATTTGATTTGTATATCTAAAAAAAAAAAATAACATTACAAGGAAAATTAATTATTCTCTTGATATAGGACGATTCAATCATTTCTAAGTAAAAATAATTATTTTTAATATATGATATTGAACTTTCATGTCCTATTATACCATTAAAATTTACATCAATAATTTAAATTATATAATTTTTAAAAAAAAAATAATTTTGATTAATAAATTAATTATTCTATCTTAATTTTTGTACATATCAAACATAAAATATGATGATATTATTTAATCTAGTCATATTTATAATATTATTTTATTTTATCAAATCATAATTTTATGTATCAAACACATTTTAAGTATATTAAGATGAAAATAATAATGAAAACAAGTATCAATAGCTACAATAATAGAATAGTTAGGAAATAACCAAATAGGAATCCAAAAAAAATTGAGATTAAGGTAAAATTTATCATCTGAATTAATATTGAAATTTGTTAATTTACTTTAATTAAATAGCCAATTTCATCGATTTTTGATAAACTTGATAATTTGTGTTACAGTGTAGTGTAAAATATTATATTCGTATTATATTTTATAAAAAATTTACGTTTACAGTTTATATCGATATAAAAATATAAAATTTTCATTTGATTAAATTTATTTATGATTTTTTAAAAATTTTAAATAGTATTATCTTCTTATTCTTTATTCGTATCATTTTCATATCATGTCATCGTTTGTATTTCAAAATGTGAAATTTAGTTTTTGACAAAAGTAATGAAAGTAAGATATTTCATAAAATATTTTGTTAATACTAATGAAAAATTTTTATTATTTACGTTATTTTATGTAGAAAATCAACAAAATTAAAAATAAAATGGTAAAAATCGAACGAAATTTTAGTGCATTGGGAAATTCCACGTTAACCTAAAATATAATAGCAAAATCGGCCTTAAATCTTAATTCCAAAATTTTTCATTTTTGTATGACCAAGAAAAGAAGTAATAATTGTTTAGCTCCTAATTTTTACTAACAAAATTGTCATTTCAGCTCCAATAGGCCATAGCCAATATCAACAAAATTCGGCCCAACCTAACTCATCAAGCCACATGCCCAAATGCCCGTATACCTGTAACGGCTAGAAAAATCCAAAATATAGCGCTTGATAGCCGTTAGATTCCCATTCAATCAAACGGCCAATATTCGATTTCAGAAATTGGACCGTTGGAGAGAAGCGCCTTCCTTTTTAGATAGCTTCAAAAGGGCACTCGACTACTTAAAAAAAAAAAAAAAAGTTAACAACTCATTCTCATTAACAAAGGAAAATCCATTCAAAAACTGAAAAACAACACAGGGAAAACAGTAGAAACCAAGAATTTATACAGTTAGGAAAAGAGTTATAGGGTGGCGACTAGAAATCCAGAAGGGGAGACGCGTGGAAGCCGTCTCCAGGTGTTCCTTTCATCATTGTTAGCCAGCATTGGTGGAGTTTTAGGCCAGGTTGTAGAACAAGAAGAAGAACCAGAGATGGCGTCTACAGCTATTGTTCCTCAGGAGGAAAACAATGGTTGGTTTTGTTTTTTCTGGCTCTTGATTCTTTCTGGTTTTTGCTCTTTTGGGTTCATTTCTTTTGAATTTTTGAGTTTTTTTTTTTTTTTTTGCACTGATCTTGGGAATCTTGGTGGGGTTCTCCTTATTTACTAGTTCTTTTTTTTTATTTATTTTGATGCTATTTCTTTTGGTTTTTGACATTTTTTTTTTGTTGAATCGGTTTCAGGATTTCGACTAGCTCTTCATATCACTAGTATTATTTTTTATTTTCAATGATCTTTTGAGGCTTTTGTAGTTCGATTTGCTGACTTCCTTTTATTAAATTTAAAATTGTTTGATTAGTTTCTTTAGACTCTATTTGGCTTGTGGATAATTTTGAAGGAAAATAAATTATGGAGGAAAGTTAAGAAGAAAAAAGGAAAGAAATTTTTTTTGGTGGTGTGTAGGAAATATGAAGGAATTTTTTTTTTTTTATGTTTATTTCTTATCTAAAACATAAGAAAAAGAATTATTGGGAGAATTATTACTTGTTCATTTCTTTGATTTGTTCTATATTCTTGGCCTTTGGGGTGTTCTTTTTTGTTATGATGGAGAAATATTTCTTTTTTTATAGTCTGAGATTTTTCCTTAACCAGTATTAATATATGTGTAATAAGCTTTTCATTTTCCTCCATTGGACCTATTTCATTTTTCCTTTCCGAATCACTGCTTGGATCGATAATATACTTTGTTATCTTTCCAGCTATGTTTTTCTAACATCTTAACTATTTTATACTTGTTTTTAGAAGAAGTGAAGCAGAAAAATGTAATAGCAGATGGAAGGAATCGAAGAGTTCTTCAAGACATTGGCAATTTTGTCAATGAACGAGCAGCACAGGGAAAGGTAGTTCCATAAACATAGAAGTTTGTTTTCCTTTTCCTCACTTTTGTCAGTCAATAACTAATTACTCTTGGTTTGCTATTTAGAAACCAATTACTGAAGGAGTTGCTGCTGTTGCACAAGCTCTGAAAAGAGGTGGTGGTGCAGTGACAAAGGTGGTAGTAGCTCAAAGAAAGGTAGTTGACAAACTAAAACATGAGACTGTGATCGTAATAAGTTCTGATGAAAAAACTGAGAAAAGCAGAAATGTTACCAGAAGAGAAGAATCTTCAAGGAAGGAAGTTAAAACCCTCACTTCAATCCTCTCTGCTCGAAGCAAGGTAATACATACATAGATATATCAAGTGAATAATTGATTGCATTTTTGTTTTTCTCATGTTGTTCACTGTTTGTTGATTACTTGATTTCGCTTCAGGCTGTTTGTGGTCTTACCAATAAGCCTAAAGATTCCATTGAGGACATTGATGGAGCTGATGTTGGTAATGAATTGGCTGTTACTGAATATGTGGATGATATCTATAAGTTCTACAAGCTCACAGAAGTAATGTTCTTTAGCTTTTACTGATAATTTTTTTTCTTTCTATATATTTCATAATTTTTTTTCTTTCTATATATTTCATATGCTAACATTACAAGTCTTGTGATGCAGGACGAAGGTCGAGTACATGACTATATCGATTTGCAGCCTGATATCAATGCAAAGATGAGATCAATCCTCATGGACTGGTTGATTGAAGTCCACCGCAAATTCGACCTTATGCCAGAAACACTATATCTTACCATGAATATTGTTGATCGATTCCTTTCGATGAAGGTTGTATCAAGAAAGGAACTACAGTTAGTAGGAATTAGTGCAATGCTAATAGCATGCAAGTACGAAGAGATTTGGGCACCAGAGGTACTTTTTGTGCGCATTTGTATAATTGGGTTTTGCTTCTGCTGATATTGCTGTTGTTTCTCTTACTTTTCATTCTGGTTTTCAATTTTTCAGGTCAATGACTTTGTTTTCATATCAGACAATGCTTATGTTAGAGAGCAGGTCTTGGCCATGGAGAAAGCAATCTTGGATAGGTTAGAATGGTACCTAACAATTCCTACACCGTATGTCTTCCTCGTTCGGTACATCAAAGCCTCTATTCCATCTGATGATAAGGTAGAATTTTATCTGACAGCTCATTATCATTTTCTTTCAGAATTGTCTACTATATAGAATTCTAGATTATAATTTGGTTGATCTTGGGTGTAACGCAGATGGAGGACTTGGTGTTTTTCCTTGCTGAGCTTGGTCTGATGCAATACCCAACTGTTGTTTTGTACTGTCCTTCCATGTTAGCTGCTGCTGCGGTGTATGCTGCAAGATGCACCCTTGACAAGAGCCCTCTTTGGAGTGAAACTCTAAAGCACCACACAGGCTACTCTGAAGGCCAGCTTATGTAATCTCTCCTCTCCCTTTTCTCCTATCCTTTATTTTTGTCAATTTCGATCAATGTGACATCTCCTGGTATGTTGTAACAGGAATTGTGCAAAACTCTTGGTTAAATTTCACTCCACAGCTTCAGAAAGCAAGCTCAAGGCAGTGTATCGGAAATTCTCGACTCCAGATCGCTGTGCCGTCGCTCTTCTTTCGCCCGCAAAAAGCCTTTTGTCAAATCATTGTGGAGAGTTATTCTGAATTCAGATGATTTGCCAAATCAGGATGTTGTTTGTATATTTTGTTCTTTGTTTGGGTTGGACTATCTATTATTAGGAATTTGATATTGACCAAGTGTGATGTTTGTAAAGGTTGATGCTTAGTTGCATTTTGCTTTTAATCTCATGTAAACTAATTTCTCATTTACTTGACTCTTTGTTGTTTCTCACATGTAATGTACCCTTTGTATTTTCCACTTGCACCAACCTGATTGGATAAAAAACCCAAGTATGAAACACTTTATCAGGTGTTAACACTGATTTGACATAGAAAAGTGAATTTCGCTACTGATTGGATAAAAACCCAAGTATGGAAACCCTTTCCTCTTTTATCATCTGTGACATAGAAAAGTTTCCTCTTTATTACTATTTTTTTATTACATCAAGATAAAATCTTAATATATAAGAGAAAAAAAAAATTTTACTCGAGACCAAACCTTTTACGTCTCTTCAAATACCTTTAACGATTCCGTCTGGGACTCCTCTTTATTATCTATAACAGTGATTTTGTTCTTTGCATCTCCTCTTAACAGCATCACGTCTCATCAATATCTATGGCCCACAGCGACGAAAAGAAAGCAGGATGAGATTTAGATTGAAGCAATCTATAAGATATGTTCCAAGGTTATGTAGCATTACAAAACTTCTGACATATTTTTGAAAACAAAATAGGTAAATGAAAACGTGAAAGTGATCACATCCCTATTGTCTTTAATTAGCTTAGCTGGTGCTAAAAATCTGCATTATCGTCCATCTTGACCTTGGGTTTGCAACATTCCTTTTTATCATGTGCCTCAGTCTCAATCTTCCTTCTGCAGCAGCCGCCATCCTTGCCAAGTTCTAATCTCCGCTCCAAAAACTCTTTGTTCTCCTTCCAAACCTCTCCATTAGAATAAACCTCCTTCTTCCATATTGGAACAGATGCCTTTAACTCATCAATCAAAAACTTACAAGCGTCTAGGGCATCAGCACGATGAGTAGCTGATACTGCAATGAACACACTCATTTCTCCTACCGGAACCGTGCCCAGACGGTGGACAACCGCAATAGAATGGAGATCCCAGGATGACCTAGCTGAGGAACAGATGGACTTGAGGTTTCGAACTGCCATTGGTACATATGCTTCATATCTTAGCTCCACTACTGTTTTTCCTTCAAAAGTGTCACGTGTCGTGCCTGAAAATGTTGCTATGGCACCAGCCTGAGGGGCACTGACGTAGTTTATATACTTGGCAAGGTCAATCTGTTTATTCTCATCTATGATTTCAACAAGAGTTTTCTCCTCAGAATTCATCTCTGGTGTTGAAGCTTTGTGGTTATCTTGAACCTCGATTGATAAGTGCTAACTTGAATATCAAAAATATCTTTTGCTCTCTGAAGGAATTATGGAACCGCTAACCATGGTTGCAGTCTGGACATCAAAACAATGTAATATGAATCACAATGAATTCTATCAAACTAACCTATAAAACAAGTATCTATCAAACCAAACAGGAAATCTAATTCATTAACAGATTTGAAATAACTGAACTAACTTATATAATGCACCAGCTAAACTAAAATTGAAATAAGAGTGAATCCATTCAGTTCGTCTACAGTCATCATTTAAAGGGTGCATTCCAATAGTTGGATTTAAATCTCAAAGCTTTGTCGAATACCGCGTTGAAAAACCCTATTTATACCGGGTTATCGAGAAAATTCTTGAACTGCACGATCGTCTCTTTTATTTTTGCCTTTTCCTTTCGCTTGTAGTTTTCCAGAATGAACTTGTCACATGGACCTCTGCAGGGTTGGGATTGTAATGGAATGGCTTGGGCCAAAAGGATAATGATAATCTATAATAATTACAATTATAGATCAATGCAATTTTCAAATCAGATCATAGCAAAAGGGAAAAAAAAAAAGCTTAGATTGGGAAAAGTTGATGGAAGTGGGTGGGATCCTTCCAAAATTATCCCCCAAGGGTCGACTCAACTAATTCAATTCCAAAGCATTAATCTTACAAGATTTAAATCAAATCCCTGAAAAGAGTCACCGATTGGGGAAAGAGAATCAAACAGTGGTATAATTTCTCATACAAAAAAAAAGAGTTCCCAAATCAAATTCAGGTTTAACTTAAGTCAAATTAGTGGAATAAACTAAAATAATTATTACAAAAAAAAGAAAAAAGAAAAAAGAATCCCCCAATTAAACATCTCAAACAATGGAAATTCAGTTATAGCAATCTCACAAAGACAGAACAGAGAATAAAATTATTGAAAAGGAAATAAAAAGAAAGTGGGAAACTTAATTTACCTACCAAAAGGAATGGGTAAGAAGCAGCAGAAGTTTGGTTTCTTGAGATGGGTCAAAGGATAAGAGACAGACGAAGGGAGAGAGCCGCAAAAAAGGAAAAAGCCACCCCACCCACCGCCGCCGAGGAAGGGAAAAGCAGTCCACCCCTAAAATACTTAATGTATGTTGGAATTTTAACTGCTTTGTGCTTTCAAGGTTTGAACTTTGAGGGCTAAATAATATTAGTATTCATATTCGTATCTTATATTATAAATTTATTATTAAATAATATAAATTATTATTTTATATAAATTAAAATTAATATATTTTTATTAAAAATATATATTAATATATATTTATAAAAATTAATCAAATATACAAGATAAAATTAAAAAAATTAAAAAAATTTTAATTTTTAATTTTTTTAAGTTATAAATATGTGGATTACCCATATCTATTAAATACCTGCAAAAATGATGATAAAGATAAATTTAAAATACGTATTGAATATGGGTATAGAGATGAGTATAATATGATAAAAATGAGAAATATTTTATCCTACTTATATTCTATCTATTGACATCCCTAATTACAACACATGAGAGTTTTTTTTTTTTTTTTTTAAATTTTTCATTAATCTTTTAAAATTTATGTATTTACTGTAAATTTCAATATTTATTAATAAATAAATATAATTAAATCTATTGACTGTAATAAATATAATTGTATATATGTATAAATGTAGATTGTATAGATTATATTAAGAAAATAAATTCATTATTTTTACCAAATAAACTCAACATTTGATAAATTACTTTTAAATGTAAAGAATGTTAACTGTGAAATGATAAATTTTATAAGATTAGGACTGAAATCTTTAAGTACACATAAAAATTACACATAATTTGAAATCCATAAATAAGGTAAAAAGCAATTTCAATTGGAACGGTTGGTTAAGATCTTGAAAGAGTGTTTTTTTTTTTTTTTTTGGCAATGTTTTAATCATAATATTAGAAGGAATTTAATTTATTTATTTTAATAAAAGACTTTAATGTTTAAATTATTAAAAATTAAATCTTAATCACGAAAAAAATAATTAAACATTGCATCAATAAACCACTTAATTATTGACAAAAAACTTTTAATTGAAATTTTATTCAAAATTATGTATTAATTTTACTATGTAAGTTCAACTTACTTACATTCATGTGTAACTATTAAAAATTATATTAATCTGAATCGAATTATTATAATGACATTAATTATTTAAAACTTACTTATGATCGCATCAAATACTAAATTAAAATCCCTACATATATCATCTTATTCACATGAAGAAAACTTGATTTTTCTTTTTCTTTTTTTTTTTTTAAAGGACAACCAAGTCTTAAATTTGTGAATGATAACTATTAAACTTCTTTTTATCAAAGATGAAAGTAATAATTTATATATAAAAAAAAGCCAAATTTAAAGTGAAAAAATGAAAAATAAATAAGAGTGGATAAAAAAATGAAAAAAAAAAATGGTGTTTGATAAGAGAGAAAAATGTAGAGAAGGAAAATGAAACGGATTGTCATTTTTATCCTTACTCTTAATAACAAATTATTTCAAATTAAAAAGATTGATGTATAGAAAATGGAAAACATATAATTAAGTGTGTATATTTATAAGCTTATTGAATTTTTTCAAATTTTATTTTTTTTAACTTATAAAAATATAATTAATAAAATAACATAAACTTGTTTTTTTTTTTTTTTTTCTCAAAAACTCTATAAAATAATAAATAGAAAGAAAATTTTTTCACTTTTCCATCTTTTTAATGATTCTATCAAACATACTAATAAAAAATAATATTTTTTTCAGTTTTTATTTTATATCTCTCACTAATTTTTTATCTTTTTATTTTTCCATCAAATTATCAAAGTTTAAATGACGTTTACTCGTATTTTTTCTAAATAAATAAATTTCACTAATAGCTAACAGCAAATCATACCTAAATAATAATAACAATAATAATAACTAAATGCAAATCGTTGGGCATGTGAACACGTCTCGTCCGAAGGTAAATAAATGCTTATTGATTGTCATCGTTTTCGGTTGGCTAAAATATTAAAAAAAAGTCTTTGGATTATTTTTTTAATTAAATTATAAGTTTTTTTATTATATTTAATAAATTTTGTTTATTTATATTAAATAAAATTTTATTTCAAATAATAAATTAATTTATATTAAAATCTTATTTAAATGTAAATTAAAAGTTAAAGATTTATTTGAATATAAATTAAAATTTAAAAATTAATTTAAATATAAATTAAAGATAAAAAACTTATTTGAATCTAATAAAAATATAAAAATTTATTTAAATAAATTTACAAAATCTAATAACTTTTAAGTTATTTTAGCATTTTCGGTTCTCATCAGTGACGTATTCTTTTTACGACAAATGGATAGGATTTGAAGGATAAGAAGTGGCTGCAGCCCCCAAACCAAACTCGTTCTTAAATCGGAAATTTAAGCCATCACCGCTCATAATTTCTTCTCTATAAATACCAATAGCTGAAGAAAGTAGTAGACATTGAACTGAATCAGAGAAATTAAGATGGAGGGGATTCAGCACAAAACAGTGAGAGTAAATGGCATAAACATGCACTTAGCAGAGAAAGGGGAAGGCCCAGTGATACTATTCCTTCATGGTTTCCCTGAGCTCTGGTACTCTTGGCGTCACCAGATCAATGGTTTAGCCTCCCTTGGCTACCGAGCCTTGGCCCCTGACCTCCGTGGCTATGGCGAAACCGATGCACCACCCTCCATCGCTAGCTACACTTGCTTCCACCTCGTGGGGGACCTCATCGCCCTCCTTGACGCCGTTGCACCGGATCAGAATAAAGTGTTCGTGGTTGGTCATGATTGGGGTGCCATCATTGCTTGGTACTTGTGCTTGTTCAGACCGGACAGAGTAAAAGCTTTGTTCAATTTGAGTGTGCCGTTTATTCCTTATAATCCAAGATTTAAACCCATCGAGACCTGGCAATCTTTCTTTGGGAATGACCATTACATCGTCAGGTTTCAGGTTGAATTCTTTTGTGTTTTTCCTTAACCAAATAATTTCCTTATTTGTTTGTTCTTTTTCTTTTCTCTCTCTCACTCTTTTGCTGCCAATTGTGATCCATAAATTGGGTCATATGAATTGTTTCTTTTGGTGTGTATAAATATATATATATATATATATATATTGTCTACAGGGATTTAAATCTTAGATTTTGTCCTTCTTTGATCTTTGATTCTTTAAATCTTTGATCTGTTCTTTATCCTAAACTCGATTATATATATATATATATATATATATATATATAAATATATATTGTCTACAGGGATTCAAATCTTAGATTTTGTCCTTCTTTGATCTTTGATTCTTTAAATCTTTGATCTGTTCTTTATCCTAAACTCGATTGACTTAGATGGTAGCTCTCTTTCAAGAAAAGAAGAGAAAAATGTGATCTATGTTTGATGGTAACAATGGTGCAGGAGCCTGGAGTAATGGAAGCAGAATTTGCAGAGATTGGTGTGGGAAGAGCTGTATTGGAGTTACTATCGTACCGTGTACCAAATCCTCTTTATTTACCAAAAGGAAATCTGTTCGGGCATCCATTAGATGATCCAGTTGATTTGCCCCCTTGGTTATCACACCAAGATGCCAACTACTATGCCACCCAATTTGAGAGAACAGGCATTAGTGGTGCTCTCAACTATTACCGTAACTTTGATCGGTACGTTTATCAAATTTCTTTAATATTTTCCCGCTTTAACTATTAATTCTGGCTTCTTCAACTTTTCGTCCATTGGGAAGCCCGATTCCTGATCATTGATCTCTTTTTTCAACCCGCATTTCCTGATCGTTAATCTCCTTTTTCTTTCTTTTTCTCTTGATCACAGAAACTGGGAAATATCAGCCCCATGGTCTGGAAGTCAAATTAAGGTCCCCGTAAAGTTTGTCATGGGTGATCTCGATCTTGTTTACACTATGCCTGGTATGAAGGAATACATTCACAATGGCGCGTTCAAGAGAGATGTACCATTTCTGGAGGAAGCAGTTGTAATGAAAGGAGTTACTCACTGGATCAACCAAGAAAAGCCTGATGACATCAACAAACAAATGTTTGATTTCTTCTCCAAGTTCCATTAATTTGTTCTCCAGTGTGTTTAACTATTGCAATAACTTGAATTCCCACTTGTCTTATCATAATGTAATCTTTATTCAACATATCTTGTTGGGTGGAATTTTCATTATCTTGTTTGTGATGATCCAACGCTGCCAGAGAGTGACTGTGAAGATTCTCTCTAGTGATAAATCTGCAATAAACGGTGGTGGAGCTAGAGTGGGGCAGGCGGGGCCATGGCCTCCAAAAAATTTTTACCTCCATATTATATAATGATCAGTCTCTATTAACTATTAATTTAGTTTTTTTTTTTGAAATTATTGTTTGATCCCTCTTTTATTAATTTCTTGTTAGAAAACCTTAAGAAAATAGAAATAATAAATATATATAATTTTTAGACGTAAATAATATTATTTTAAAAGTAATTATACTTATACGATACAATAAAATCTTAAAAATTTTCAAATCAAAATTAATAAAATTGATCATGTAAAAATATTTATCTGTAATAAATAAATAATTACAAATTTTTATTAAAAGAATTATGATAATTTGTATAATTATATTTTTCTGTTCAAACAAGTTATTGAGAATAAAATTGATATTATTTTATTTTATTTCAAAAATATATTAAATAAAAGATTACAAAAATAAATTTATTTATTAAACAAATTCAAGTATCCAATTTTTAACTTTTAAAATTATTTAACTCATTAGAAAAATTTCTAACAAACCCAAATAATTTGCTCCATTTTAACACTTAAATTAATTACTTAAATAACATAAATAATTTCTTTTAAATTATATACAAATAATTTTTTTATTTAATATAAGATACTTCATATTTTAAACTACTAATATTTTCTGCTTTCGCCGGTTGCTTACCTTAACATGACGGAATTTTTTATGGAATCTCAAAAGAACTGATCTCAGTCACCAGAAAATTATAGCAAATTAGTGGCCTATAAACTTTTTTGAGGTGGTCCTGATGACCTCAACAGAACATGGTGGTAGATCATGAAACTGATGTTCAACACACATTCAGGTTTGGTTGGTAACACCATATAATTGTTCAGGGTATTTTACTAAACAGAGATTCATGGGAAGTTGCTTTGGATGTTATTCCTGTGAAACATTTTGAAGAATCGATTTGACACACCATTGAACATATTTTTATCAATATTTTACTGATTTTTCAATTTTATGAGTGAATTTTCTCTATGGAATAGGTGGATTTGTTTTCTTCATCTCTTCCTCTTTAGCTGGTATTGAGAATCCTGTTGGTGTATATCATCCTCGTCCATACAGTACATTTGCAATAGGGAACTCTTCTTCATTCGTTGATCCCTGATAATTCGAATCGAACGTGAACGTGAAAAAACCAAAAAATCTAAAATTAATGCTTGTAACTGAAACCCTCTAAATTCCCCTCTCCAGTTATAAATTTTGCCTTTTGGTTAGGTAGATAAAACTGAAAGTAAATCAGGTTGAAGAATTTAGCCTTTTTTATTTTTGGGCAAACATTTTGTTTGGGATATAGTATTTAGATAAAATATGATTTTCATATGTACATTGGATCATTTGGAGATATGTGCCCTCAACTCGTGATTGAGTCCATAAAATTAGTCAAAACTCAAAAGACACTTCCTAAATCTGATTTCTGTACGTTACTCCTCTCAAACGCAACGTTATTCTTCTCCTCGGCCTTTCTCATAGGTATAGTTTCTGTCAAACAGATGAAACATTGTTTTTTTTCTTATCAGAAATGGATGTGGTTTCCCAATGTCTCCCTAAGATTTTACATTCCAACAAGTTTTTGCTCAACTCTCAAGCCATCTCAACACCAACCAAATCCGAACGGCAGATTCAATTGCCCCCTCGAATTCTGAAACAATCGTCGAAAACAACACCACCAGCCATTCCTACTCCAACTAGCAAACCCATGTCGACCAACCCAAGTACTAGCAGCCACACAACCTCCGATATTTTGCGCTTAATGGATAGCCTTTCCCTTCCCATACCACCTGATATATATGCTTCCCTGATCAAAGAATGTACCATCACCCGCCACTCCCGGAGGGCTCTCGAGTTACATGCACACATCAAAAAGAGCCGTATCAAGCTCTCCTTACCTTTGCTTAACCGCCTCCTTCTCGTGCATGTCTCATGCGGTCACCTGGAACTTGCCCGTCAGTTGTTCGATCAGATGTTTCTTAGAGACTTCAACTCTTGGGCAATCATGATTGTTGCATGTCTCCACGCTGGTGACTCTGAACAGGCTATTGCTTATTTCGTGCTTATGGAACAGCGCAATCTTATCTTCAAATTTCCTGCCTGGATCATCGTATGTCTTCTCAAGTCATGTGTTTTGACAAATAATATGGAATTAGGAAAGCAACTGCATGGGCAGTTACTCAAGTTGGGTTTTAGCAATGATTTGTCTCTATCTGGGTCCTTAATCAACTTTTATGGAAACTTCAGTTGCCTAGATGATGCCAACTATGTATTTAATCAATTGTCACGACGTAATACTGTGACTTGGACAGCAAAAATCGTTAATAGCTGTAGGGAGGATCAATTCAGTAAGGTTATTGATGATTTTATTGAGATGGGCAGACAGGGTATTAAGAAAAATAGCTTTACTTTTTCAAGTGTTTTAAAGGCATGTGCTGGGATGAATGATGACGGTATGTCCGGTCGGCAGGTTCATGCCAATGCTATCAAGCTTGGTTTAGAATCAGATGTTTTCATACAATGCGGATTGATCAACATGTATGGTAAATGCAGATTGGTGAAAGATGCTGAAAAGGCATTTGAGATTGTTGGTGATAAAAGAAATATAGCATGTTGGAATGCCATGCTTCTGGGCTATGTACATAATGAGTTCTGTATTCAGGCCATTAAACTTCTGTATCGAATGAAAGAAGCTGGAATCAAGGTTCAAGAATCATTGATCAATGATGTAAGGATTGCTTGTGCTAGTACAAAACTAGAAATATGACAGAGATAGCTGAATCACGAACTTGTAAATCATATATTTATTGTCAAGTGATGTTGTCTCACATCTTTAAGTTTAGGATTACATGTGATCTTATATTCAATTTGGGTCTCACCACCTATTACAATTGATTTTAAATTTGATGCTTAAAATGATATTAGAATCAGGTTCTCTTATGTTCTTTCTGCTTTATATCTCTTCTGAACACTTGATAGTTATGCTTATATGTGGTGGGTACATGCGTTTATATCTTTCTGAGTTTGTTACATGGTAGCTGCGCCTACGAGTGACTTCACTTTGGTTAAATCTTGAAATGTCTGCGATCGTATATTGAAATTGGATTTTTTCATTTATTGCCAATCGATTTTTCGTCTAATGTTTAACATTGCTATACTTTCAACTCTTGTATGTCATTGTATATATGCTTTGTATCAACGCCACAAATTGCAGATTATTATTTATGAACTTTAACACGAAGCCAGCTACTTATTATATTTGGGCATTGCCGATGGGTGAGCATGTTTTTTGTTTCCAAATTAATGTTGCAAGAACATTAAAACTTAAGGTTAAAAGAGCAGTGGTTGATCTCCCATATACTGTCACAAATGAGCTGCTGAAATGTGAAATTGAGGAGGAAAAGAATTTCACGAGCAACAACCATTCCTCTGAATATGAAATTTAGATGTCCATTTACTGGTTTTAATTTCATATATAACTGAATGTGGATTGTGTAATTGTATGTTTTCATGCAGATGTTTTAAATTGATATTTTTTTGAATAAATATTAGTTGCCTTATGGTAGGCTAGCTGATATGGATTGGTTCATCTGGAACCAACATAATCACAATTTAACATGATTTTATTAAAAAAAAAAAAGCTTAATGTACAAATTGTATTCACTTATAATACATTTAATAAAATTATAAGTAAAAATTTGAAATAATATATTACTATATTATTATAATTATTCATGATAAATTTTAATATTTTTAAAAATATTTTTTTGAAAATTTTGATTTTCAAGAAAAATTGATAGTTTCAATTTTTCCCCAAAAATATTTTTTTTGAAATTTTATTTTTAAGAAAAATTGATACTTTCAACTTTTTTCAAAAAAATATTTCTTGAAACTTTGATTTTCAAGGAAAATTGATACTTTCAACTTTTCCCCAAAATATTATTTTTTGGTTTTTATTTAAAGAAAATAGAATAATAAAATAAAATAAAATAAAGTAAAACAAAAATAAAAATAAAATAAAGATAAAAAGAATATTAAATAAACCTAATCTAATAAAAAAAAAAAAAAAACAAATAAATAAATTCAAAAAAAAAAAACCTGGAGCGGCTCGAAGTACGGCTCGGCTCAAGGAAAAGAAAATGACTTGGAGAAGCGGCTTAAAACCTCGGCTCGACTCGGCTATCGACTCGGAGGAAGGAGACACACGCGGGTCAGGAAGCGGGTCAACGCTCGGGTAGGGTCTGATCTTGACAAAACGCGTGGATCTTCTGGATTACTTAAGGCAAAAATGACGTCGTTTTGGGATGGTATATAAGGCTCTTCCCTCTGTTTTTCGGTAGAAACCCTTTCCCCTCTCTCTCTCTCTTCTTTCCTTTTTCTCTCGCTTCTCTCTAAACGGTCGACGAACTCCGGTTAAATATTCATCGAATTTTGAGATTTTCGTCAAAATCTGAATTTTCGGTCGGAAGTTCGTCGAAAAGTTGGTCGATTTCTGGATCCTTCATCGGAAACTGGGCAGCTCGTCGAAAACTTCAAAGTTGACCGGAATCATCGTCGAAAAATGCAAGTTTCACCGAAAAATTCAACCGGAATCTGAAATTTTTCAAAAATTTCCAGAAAAAAAATCACCAAAAATCTCCAAAAAATTTTTGCTAACTCTTAGAACACTTTTAAACATTTTCTTAGCCTTCTATACTCTTCTATATGCCTCTTTTCTCTCAAATCAGTAGCTTTTTGCTCACTGGTTTTTTATGTGTTTTATTTTGTTCCAGAGGGTCCTTTTTATAGGGATTGATCAGGAGTTTCTGATCAATCCCAATTCTTCTTTGGATCGGGATTCAATCATTGAATCCAACATGGACTCTTCTGATTGAATCCCAATCCAATTTTCAGCCAGATAAATAAAAAAAAATTAAAAAAAATCAAATGAAAATAAATCAGATAAATCAAAAAAATTAACAGATAAAATAAAATTAAATAACAGATAATTACATAAATATTAACAAGAAAAAAAAGAAGAAAAAAAATAATAATAAAGATATATACATATTAATAAATACATAAATCTAAGATAATAATAATAATAATAATAAAAGAAAAGAAAAATATATATACATATATAAAATAATAATAATAAAAATAAAATAAAATAAAAATGTAAAAACAAAATAAAAATAAATTAAAAAAATAAAAATAAAATGAAGAGAAAAAGAAAAGAAAAAAAAATATAGACTTATCCATTTGGATCAGGCCAAATTGATCCGAGCCTAAACCAAATTGGGTGTCTACAGTGATAATTAAATAACATATAGTATATACTACATATAATATTGAAATAGTTTATAATAGTATACTATTATATACTACATATAACATATGTATTAATTTTACTATGTAAGTTAAACTTACTTGCATTCATGTGTAACTATTTAAAATCATATTAATCCGAATCGAATTATTATAATCACATTAACTATTTAAAACTTACTTATGATCGTATCATATATTTAATTAAAATCCTTACATATATCATCTTATCCACATGAAGAAAACTTGATTTTTTTTTTTTAAAGGACAACCAAGTCTTAAATTTGTGAATGATAACTATTAAACTTCTTTTTATCAAAGATGAAAGTAATAATTTATATATAAAAAAAGCCAAATTTAAAGTGAAAAAATGAAAAATAAATAAGAGTGGATAAAAAAAATGAAAAAAAAAAAAGGTGTTTGATAAGAGAGAAAAATGTAGAGAAAGAAAATGAAGCGGATTGTCATTTTTATCCTTACTCTTAATAACAAATTATTTCAAATTAAAAAGATTGATGTATAGAAAATGGAAAACATATAACTAAGTGTGTATATTTATAAGATTATTGAATTTTTTAAAATTTTAATTTTTTTAACTTATAAAAGTATAATTAATAAAATAACATAAACTTGTTTTCTTTTTTTTTTTAATTTTTCTCAAAAACTCTATAAAATAATAAATAGAAAGAAAATTTTTTTCACTTTTCCATCTTTTTTATGATTCTATCAAACATACTAATAAAAAAAATATTTTTTTCAGTTTTTATTTTATATCTCTCACTAATTTTTTATCTTTTTATTTTTCCATCAAATTATCAAAGTTTAAATGACGTTTACTCGTATTTTTTCTAAATAAATAAATTTCACTAATAGCTAACAGCAAATCATACCTAAATAATAATAACAATAATAATAACTAAATGCAAATCGTTGGGCATGTGAACACGTCTCGTCCGAAGGTAAATAAATGCTTATTGATTGTCATCGTTTTCGGTTGGCTAAAATATTAAAAAAAAAAGTCTTTGGATTATTTTTTTAATTAAATTATATGTTTTTTTATTATATTTAATAAATTTTGTTTATTTATATTAAATAAAATTTTATTTCAAATAATAAATTAATTTATATTAAAATCTTATTTAAATGTAAATTAAAAGTTAAAGATTTATTTGAATATAAATTAAAATTTAAAAATTAATTTAAATATAAATTAAAGATAAAAAACTTATTTGAATCTAATAAAAATATAAAAATTTATTTAAATAAATTTACAAAATCTAATAACTTTTAAATTATTTTAGCATTTTCGGTTCTCATCAGTGACGTATTCTTTTTACGACAAATGGATAGGATTTGAAGGATAAGAAGTGGCTGCAGCCCCCAAACCAAACTCGTTCTTAAATCGGAAATTTAAGCCATCACCGCTCATAATTTCTTCTCTATAAATACCAATAGCTGAAGAAAGTAGTAGACATTGAACTGAATCAGAGAAATTAAGATGGAGGGGATTCAGCACAAAACAGTGAGAGTAAATGGCATAAACATGCACTTAGCAGAGAAAGGGGAAGGCCCAGTGATACTATTCCTTCATGGTTTCCCTGAGCTCTGGTACTCTTGGCGTCACCAGATCAATGGTTTAGCCTCCCTTGGCTACCGAGCCTTGGCCCCTGACCTCCGTGGCTATGGCGAAACCGATGCACCACCCTCCATCGCTAGCTACACTTGCTTCCACCTCGTGGGGGACCTCATCGCCCTCCTTGACGCCGTTGCACCGGATCAGAATAAGGTGTTCGTGGTTGGTCATGATTGGGGTGCCATCATTGCTTGGTACTTGTGCTTGTTCAGACCGGACAGAGTGAAAGCTTTGTTCAATTTGAGTGTGCCGTTTATTCCTTATAATCCAAGATTTAAACCCATCGAGACCTGGCAATCTTTCTTTGGGAATGACCATTACATCGTCAGGTTTCAGGTTGAATTCTTTTGTGTTTTTCATTAACCAAATAATTTCCTTTGTTCTTTTTCTTTTCTCTCTCTCACTCTTTTGCTTCCAATTGTGATCCATAAATTGGGTCATATGAATTGTTTCTTTTGGTGTGTGTGTGTGTATATATATATATATATTGTCTACAGGGATTTAAATCTTAGATTTTGTCCTTCTTTGATCTTTGATTCTTTAAATCTTTGATCTGTTCTTTATCCTAAACTCGATTGACTTAGATGGTAGCTCTCTTCCAAGAAAAGAAGAGAAAAATGTGATCTATGTTTGATGGTAACAATGGTGCAGGAGCCTGGAGTAATGGAAGCAGAATTTGCAGAGATTGGTGGGAAGAGCTGTATTGGAGTTACTATCGTACCGTGTACCAGATCCTCCTTATTTACCAAAAGGAAATCTGTTCGGGCATCCATTAGATGATCCAGTTAATTTGCCCCCTTGGTTATCACACCAAGATGCCAACTACTATGCCACCCAATTTGAGAAAACCGGCATTAGTGGTGCTCTCAACTATTACCGTAACTTTGATCGGTACGTTTATCAAATTTCTTAATATTTTCCCGCTTTAACTATTAATTCTGGCTTCTTCAACTTTTCGTCCATAGGGAAGCCCGATTCCTGATCATTGATCTCTTTCTTCAACCCTCATTTCCTGATCGTTAATCTCCTTTTTCTTTCTCTTTCTCTTGATCACAGAAACTGGGAACTATCAGCCCCATGGTCTGGAAGTCAAATTAAGGTCCCCGTAAAGTTTGTGATGGGTAATCTCGATCTTGTTTACACTATGCCTGGTATGAAGGAATACATTCACAATGGCGCGTTCAAGAGAGATGTACCATTTCTGGAGGAAGCAGTTGTAATGAAAGGAGTTACTCACTGGATCAACCAAGAAAAGCCTGATGACATCAACAAACAAATGTTTGATTTCTTCTCCAAGTTCCATTAATTTGTTCTCCAATGTGTTTAACTATTGCAATAACTTGAATTCCCACTTGTCTTATCATAATGTAATCTTTATTCAACATATCTTGTTGGGTGGAATTTTCATTATCTTGTTTGTGATGATCCAACGCTGCCAGAGAGTGACTGTGAAGATTCTCTCTAGTGATAAATCTGCAATAAACGGTGGTGGAGCTAGAGTGGGGCAGGCGGGGCCATGGCCTCCAAAAAATTTTTACCTCCATATTATATAATAATCAGTCTCTATTAATTATTAATTTAGTTTTTTTTTTTAAATTATTGTTTGATCCCTCTTTTACTAATTTCTTGTTAGAAAACCTTAAGAAAATAGAAATAATAAATATATATAATTTTTAGACGTAAATAATATTATTTTAAAAGTAATTATGCTTATACGATATAAAATATAAAAAATTTTCAAATCAAAATTAGTAAAATTGATCATGTAAAAATATTTATCTGTAATAAATGAATAATTAAAATTTTTTATTAAAAGAATTATGATATTTTGTATAATTATATTTTTCTGTTCAAACAAGTTATTGAGAATAAAATTAATATTATTTTATTTTATTTCAAAAATATATTAAATAAAAGATTAAAAAAATAAATTTATTTATTAAACAAATTCAAATATCCAATTTTTAACTTTTAAAATTATTTAACTCATTAAAAAAATTTCTAACAAACCCAAATAATTTGCTCCATTTTAACACTTAAATTAATTACTTAAATAACATAAATAATTTCTTTTAAATTATATACAAATAATTTTTTTATTTAATATAAGATACTTCATATTTTAAACTACTAATATTTTCTGCTTTCGCCGGTTGCTTACCTTAACATGACGGAATTTTTTATGGAATCTCAAAAGAACTGATCTCAGTCACCAGAAAATTATAGCAAATTAGTGGCCTATAAACTTTTTGAGGTGGTCCTGATGACCTCAACAGAACATGGTGGTAGATCATGAAACTGATGTTCAACACACATTTCAGGTTTGGTTGGTAACACCATATAATTGTTCAGGGTATTTTACTAAACAGAGATTCATGGGAAGTTGCTTTGGATGTTATTCCTGTGAAACATTTTGAAGAATCGATTTGACACACCATTGAACATATTTTTATCAATATTTTACTGATTTTTCAATTTTATGAGTGAAATTTCTCTATGAATAGGTGGATTTGTTTTCTTCATCTCTTCCTCTTTGGCTGGTATTGAGAATCAAGTTGGTGTATATCATCCTCGTCCATACAGTACATTTGCAATAGGGAACTCTTCTTCATTCGTTGATCCCTGATAATTCGAACCGAACATGAACGTGAAAAACCAAAAAAATCTAAAATTAATGCTTGTAACTGAAACCCTCTAAATTCCCCTCTCCAGTTATAAATTTTGCCTTTTGGTTAGGTAGATAAAACTGAAAGTAAATCAGGTTGAAGAATTTAGCCTTTTTTATTTTTCCAATTTATTTTTGGGCAAACATTTTGTTTGGGATATAGTATTTAGATAAAATATGATTTTCATATGTACATTGGATCATTTGGAGATATGTGCCCTCAACTCGTGATTGAGTCCATAAAATTAGTCAAAACTCAAAAGACACTTCCTAAATCTGATTTCTGTACGTTACTCCTCTCAAACGCAACGTTATTCTTCTCCTCGGCCTTTCTCATAGGTATAGTTTCTGTCAAACAGATGAAACATTGTTTTTTTTCTTATCAGAAATGGATGTGGTTTCCCAATGTCTCCCTAAGATTTTACATTCCAACAAGTTTTTGCTCAACTCTCAAGCCATCTCAACACCAACCAAATCCGAACGGCAGATTCAATTGCCCCCTCGAATTCTGAAACAATCGTCGAAAACAACACCACCAGCCATTCCTACTCCAACTAGCAAACCCATGTCGACCAACCCAAGTACTAGCAGCCACACAACCTCCGATATTTTGCGCTTAATGGATAGCCTTTCCCTTCCCATACCACCTGATATATATGCTTCCCTGATCAAAGAATGTACCATCACCCGCCACTCCCGGAGGGCTCTCGAGTTACATGCACACATCAAAAAGAGCCGTATCAAGCTCTCCTTACCTTTGCTTAACCGCCTCCTTCTCATGCATGTCTCATGCGGTCACCTGGAACTTGCCCGTCAGTTGTTCGATCAGATGTTTCTTAGAGACTTCAACTCTTGGGCAATCATGATTGTTGCATGTCTCCACGCTGGTGACTCTGAACAGGCTATTACTTATTTCGTGCTTATGGAACAGCGCAATCTTATCTTCAAATTTCCTGCCTGGATCATCGTATGTCTTCTCAAGTCATGTGTTTTGACAAATAATATGGAATTAGGAAAGCAACTGCATGGGCAGTTACTCATGTTGTGTTTTAGCAATGATTTGTCTCTATCTGGGTCCTTAATCAACTTTTATGGAAACTTCAGTTGCCTAGATGATGCCAACTATGTATTTAATCAATTGTCACGACGTAATACTGTGACTTGGACATCAAAAATCGTAAATAGCTGTAGGGAGGATCAATTCAGTAAGGTTATTGATGATTTTATTGAGATGGGCAGACAGGGTATTAAGAAAAATAGCTTTACTTTTTCAAGTGTTTTAAAGGCATGTGCTGGGATGAATGATGACGGTATGTCCGGTCGGCAGGTTCATGCCAATGCTATCAAGCTTGGTTTAGAATCAGATGTTTTCATACAATGCGGATTGATCAACATGTATGGTAAATGCAGATTGGTGAAAGATGCTGAAAAGGCATTTGAGATTGTTGGTGATAAAAGAAACATAGCATGTTGGAATGCCATGCTTCTGGGCTATGTACATAATGAGTTCTGTATTCAGGCCATTAAACTTCTGTATCGAATGAAAGAAGCTGGAATCAAGGTTCAAGAATCATTGATCAATGATGTAAGGATTGCTTGTGCTAGTACAAAACTAGAAATATGACAGAGATAGCTGAATCACGAACTTGTAAATCATATATTTATTGTCAAGTGATGTTGTCTCACATCTTTTAAGTTTAGGATTACATGTGATCTTATATTCAATTTGGGTCTCACCACCTATTACAATTGATTTTAAATTTGATGCTTAAAATGATATTAGAATCAGGTTCTCTTATGTTCTTTCTGCTTTGTATCTCTTCTGAACACTTGATAGTTATGCTCATATGTGGTGGGTACATGCGTTTATATCTTTCTGAGTTTGTTACATGGTAGCTGCGCCTACGAGTGACTTCACTTTGGTTAAATCTTGAAATGTCTGCGATCGTATATTGAAATTGGATTTTTTCATTTATTGCCAATCGATTTTTTGTCTAATGTTTAACATTGCTATACTTTCAACTCTTGTATGTCATTGTATATATGCTTTGTATCAACGCCACAAATTGCAGATTATTATTTATGAACTTTAACACGAAGCCAGCTACTTATTATATTTGGGCATTGCCGATGGGTGAGCATGTTTTTTCCAAATTAATGTTGCAAGAACATTAAAACTTAAGGTTAAAAGAGCAGTGGTTGATCTCCCATATACTGTCACAAATGAGCTGCTGAAATGTGAAATTGAGGAGGAAAAGAATTTCACGAGCAACAACCATTCCTTGAGGAGGAAAAGAATTTCACGAGCAACAACCATTCCTCTGAATATGAAATTTAGATGTCCATTTACTGGTTTTAATTTCATATATAATTGAATGTGGATTGTGCAATTGTATGTTTTCATGCAGATGTTTTAAATTGATATTTTTTTAAATAAATATTAGTTGCCTTATGGTAGGCTAGCTGATATGGATTGGTTCATCTGGAACCAACATAATCACAATTTAACATGATTTTATTAAAAAAAAAAAAAAGCTTAATGTACAAATTGTATTCACTTATAATACATTTAATAAAATTATAAGTAAAAATTTGAAATAATATATTACTATATTATTATAATTATTCATGATAAATTTTAATAGTTTTAAAAATATTTTTTTAAAAATTATGATTTTCAAGAAAAATTGATAGTTTCAACTTTTCCCCAAAAATATTTTTTTTGAAATTTTATTTTTAAGAAAAATTGATACTTTCAACTTTTTTCAAAAAAATATTTCTTGAAACTTTGATTTTCAAAGAAAATTGATACTTTCAACTTTTTCCCAAAATATTTTTTTTTGGTTTTTATTTAAAGAAAATAGAATAATAAAATAAATAAAAAAAGTAAAACAAAAATAAAAATAAAATAAGGATAAAAAGAATATTAAATAAACCTAATCTAATAAAAAAAATAAAAAAAATAAACAAATAAATAAATTCAAAAAAAAAAAACCTGGAGCGGCTCGAAGTACGGCTCGGCTCGGCTCGGCTCAAGGAAGAGAAAATGACTTGGAGAAGCGGCTTAAAACCTCGGCTCGACTCGGCTATCGACTCAGAGGAAGGAGACACGCGCGGGTCAGGAAGCGGGTCGACGCTCGGGTAGGATTTGATCTTGACAAAACGCGTGGATCTTCTGGATTACTTAAGGCAAAAATGACGTCGTTTTGGGATGGTATATAAGGCTCTTCCCTCTGTTTTTCGGTAGAAACCCTTTCCCCTCTCTCTTTCTTCTTTCCTTTTTCTCTCGCTTCTCTCCAAACGGTCGAAGAACTCCGGTTAAATATTCATCGAATTCTGAGATTTTCGTCAAAATCTGGATTTTCAGTCGGAAGTTCGTCGAAAAGTTGGTCGATTTTCTGGATCCTTCATTGGAAACTAGGCAGCTCGTCCAAAACTTCAAAGTTGGCCGGAATCATCGTCGAAAAATGCAAGTTTCGTCGAAAAATTCAACCGAAATCTGAAATTTTCCAAAAATTTCCAGAAAAAAAATCACCAAAAATCTCCAAAAAATTTCTACTAACTCTTAGAACACTTTTAAACATTTTCTTAGCCTTCTATACTCTTCTATATGCCTCTTTTCTCTCAAATCAGTAGCTTTTTGCTCACTGGTTTTTTATGTGTTTTGTTTTGTTCCAGAGGGTCCTTTTTATAGGAATTGATCAGGAGTTTCTGATCAATCCCAATTCTTCTTTGGATCGGGATTCAATCATTGAATCCAACATGGACTCTTCTGATTGAATCCCAATCCAATTTTCAGCCAGATAAATAAAAAAAAAATTAAAAAAAATCAAATGAAAATAAATCAGATAAATCAAAAAAATTAACAGATAAATTAAAATTAAATAACAGATAATTACATAAATATTAACAGGAAAAAAAAGAAGAAAAAAAATAATAATAAAGATATATACATATTAATAAATACATAAATCTAAGATAATAATAATAATAATAATAAAAGAAAAGAAAAATATATATACATATATAAAATAATAAAAATAAAAATAAAAATAAATTAAAAAAATAAAAAGAAAATGAAGAGAAAAAGAAAAGAAAAAAAAATATAGACTTACCCATTTAGACTAGATCAAATTAAGTGTCTACAGTGATAATTAAATAACATATAGTATATACTACATATAATATTGAAATAGTTTATAATAGTATACCATTATATACTACATATAACATATGTATTAATTTTACTATGTAAGTTAAACTTACTTGGATTCATGTGTAACTATTTAAAATCATATTAATCCGAATCGAATTATTATAATCACATTAACTATTTAAAACTTACTTATGATCGTATCAGATACTTAATTAAAATCCCTACATATATCATCTTATTCACATGAAGAAAACTTGATTTTTTTTTTTTAAAGGACAACCAAGTCTTAAATTTGTGAATGATAACTATTAAACTTCTTTTTATCAAAGATGAAAGTAATAATTTATATATAAAAAAAGCCAAATTTAAAGTGAAAAAATGAAAAATAAATAAGAGTGGATAAAAAAAATGAAAAAAAAAAAAGGTGTTTGATAAGAGAGAAAAATGTAGAGAAAGAAAATGAAGCGGATTGTCATTTTTATCCTTACTCTTAATAACAAATTATTTCAAATTAAAAAGATTGATGTATAGAAAATGGAAAACATATAACTAAGTGTGTATATTTATAAGATTCTTGAATTTTTTAAAATTTTAATTTTTTTAACTTATAAAAGTATAATTAATAAAATAACATAAACTTGTTTTCTTTTTTTTTTAATTTTTCTCAAAAACTCTATAAAATAATAAATAGAAAGAAATTTTTTTCACTTTTCCATCTTTTTTATGATTCTATCAAACATACTAATAAAAAAAATATTTTTTTCAGTTTTTATTTTATATCTCTCACTAATTTTTTATCTTTTTATTTTTCCATCAAATTATCAAAGTTTAAATGACGTTTACTCCTATTTTTTCTAAATAAATAAATTTCACTAATAGCTAACAGCAAATCATACCTAAATAATAATAACAATAATAATAACTAAATGCAAATCGTTGGGCATGTGAACACGTCTCGTCCGAAGGTAAATAAATGCTTATTGATTGTCATCGTTTTCGGTTGGCTAAAATATTAAAAAAAAAAGTCTTTGGATTATTTTTTTAATAAAATTATATGTTTTTTTATTATATTTAATAAATTTTGTTTATTTATATTAAATAAAATTTTATTTCAAATAATAAATTAATTTATATTAAAATCTTATTTAAATGTAAATTAAAAGTTAAAGATTTATTTGAATATAAATTAAAATTTAAAAATTAATTTAAATATAAATTAAAGATAAAAAATTATTTGAATCTAATAAAAATATAAAAATTTATTTAAATAAATTTACAAAATCTAGTAACTTTTAAGTTATTTTAGCATTTTCGGTTCTCATCAGTGACGTATTCTTTTTACGACAAATGGATAGGATTTGAAGGATAAGAAGTGGCTGCAGCCCCCAAACCAAACTCGTTCTTAAATCGGAAATTTAAGCCATCACCGCTCATAATTTCTTCTCTATAAATACCAATAGCTGAAGAAAGTAGTAGACATTGAACTGAATCAGAGAAATTAAGATGGAGGGGATTCAGCACAAAACAGTGAGAGTAAATGGCATAAACATGCACTTAGCAGAGAAAGGGGAAGGCCCAGTGATACTATTCCTTCATGGTTTCCCTGAGCTCTGGTACTCTTGGCGTCACCAGATCAATGGTTTAGCCTCCCTTGGCTACCGAGCCTTGGCCCCTGACCTCCGTGGCTATGGCGAAACCGATGCACCACCCTCCATCGCTAGCTACACTTGCTTCCACCTCGTGGGGGACCTCATCGCCCTCCTTGACGCCGTTGCACCGGATCAGAATAAGGTGTTCGTGGTTGGTCATGATTGGGGTGCCATCATTGCTTGGTACTTGTGCTTGTTCAGACCGGACAGAGTGAAAGCTTTGTTCAATTTGAGTGTGCCGTTTATTCCTTATAATCCAAGATTTAAACCCATCGAGACCTGGCAATCTTTCTTTGGGAATGACCATTACATCGTCAGGTTTCAGGTTGAATTCTTTTGTGTTTTTCATTAACCAAATAATTTCCTTATTTGTTTGTTCTTTTTCTTTTCTCTCTCTCACTCTTTTGCTTCCAATTGTGATCCATAAATTGGGTCATATGAATTGTTTCTTTTGGTGTGTGTGTGTATATATATATATATATATATATTGTCGACAGGGATTTAAATCTTAGATTTTGTCCTTCTTTGATCTTTGATTCTTTAAATCTTTGATCTCTTCTTTATCCTAAACTCGATTGACTTAGATGGTAGCTCTCTTCCAAGAAAAGAAGAGAAAAATGTGATCTATGTTTGATGGTAACAATGGTGCAGGAGCCTGGAGTAATGGAAGCAGAATTTGCAGAGATTGGTGTGGGAAGAGCTGTATTGGAGTTACTATCGTACCGTGTACCAGATCCTCCTTATTTACCAAAAGGAAATCTGTTCGGGCATCCATTAGATGATCCAGTTAATTTGCCCCCTTGGTTATCACACCAAGATGCCAACTACTATGCCACCCAATTTGAGAAAACCGGCATTAGTAGTGCTCTCAACTATTACCGTAACTTTGATCGGTACGTTTATCAAATTTCTTAATATTTTCCCGCTTTAACTATTAATTCTGGCTTCTTCAACTTTTCGTCCATTGGGAAGCCCGATTCCTGATCATTGATCTCTTTGTTCAACCCGCATTTCCTGATCGTTAATCTCCTTTTTCTTTCTCTTTCTCTTGATCACAGAAACTGGGAACTATCAGCCCCATGGTCTGGAAGTGAAATTAAGGTCCCCGTAAAGTTTGTGATGGGTAATCTCGATCTTGTTTACACTATGCCTGGTATGAAGGAATACATTCACAATGGCGCGTTCAAGAGAGATGTACCATTTCTGGAGGAAGCAGTTGTAATGAAAGGAGTTACTCACTGGATCAACCAAGAAAAGCCTGATGACATCAACAAACAAATGTTTGATTTCTTCTCCAAGTTCCATTAATTTGTTCTCCAGTGTGTTTAATTATAGCAATAACTTGAATTCCCACTTGTCTTATCATAATGTAATCTTTATTCAACATATCTTGTTGGGTGGAATTTTCATTGTCTTGTTTGTGATGATCCAACGCTGCCAGAGAGTGATT